ATAAAATGGCAAGATGGGCGTCGCCACATCCCAGTGGAGGTGATAAACAAGATAACAGCCATGGCCCCACCAACCTCTAAAAAGGAGACTCAGTCTTTCCTGGGCGCTGTGGGCTTCTGGAGGATGCACATCCCGAACTACAGCCTGATTGTGAGCCCTCTCTACCACGTAACCTGTAAGAAGAACGATTTTGAATGAGGCCCTGAGCAACAACAATCCTTTGAACAAATTAAACGGGACATTGCCCAGGCAGTAGCCCTCGGGCCAGTCCGGGAAGGGCAGGAGGTTAAGATCATGCTCTACACTGCAGCCGGGGAGAACGGCCCTACCTGGACCCTCTGAGACAGTTCCTCCACAGCTGAGACCAGGGGATGCTGAAATGAGGGGAGATTTCCCTCATATTGCCGGAGCCTGCCAACCACTCCATCCACTGTTAGAGTCTGGGTGTCTGTCCACCAGGACACTATTGCCAGTGCTTTTGAGTGCGCTTCTGGTGCGCTCTTCAGGAACTTTCGCCACATCAGGTGTGTGCAAGGGGCCTGATCTGGGTCCATGGGTGACTGCTCATCATTCAGATCACCATAAATCATCTCAAACACAGCCAGTTCCCTGAGGTTCTGGATGCCTTTCTCAATGCTGGTCCATTTGCCCAGCTGACATAGGATATCATCCTTGTAGGGGTGCCTCTCCCTTACACTGAACAGGAGTCGCTTCCAAAGGCTGAGGGTTTGAGCCCGTTTCCCTGTCTCCCTATCAATGCCAGCATCCTTGGCCAAAGATCCCAGCTGCTTGGCCTCTCTCCCCTCCATCTCAAAAGCACTGGCTCCATTGTCCCAGCATCGGAGCAGCCAGGTGCAAATCTGCTCACCTCCCAGGCGGCCGCAATCTCTCTGCATATCTCGCAGCTCAGTCGGGGACAGAGATCGGACGATCACCTCTGGTCCTTCCTCCTGTTCCCCTGATGGGCCTGGATCATCCTCATCCCTCACTCTGCGAACTGACTTTCTGGTATATTTTGTTTTCTGTATCGGGGAGACTGACACTGGCACTGCCTGGCTCTCTGGCTCAGTCTGTGTGCTGGTGGAGGCGACTGACACTGGCTCTGCCTGTGCCCCCGGTTCAGATATTGTCTGTGTGGCCTTTTCTTCCCGTTGAGGGCAGCGGGTGGTATTAAAGAGGACACGGTACACACGGGCAAGTCCCCAGCACATTGCAGCGATTTGTGTCTCCTGGGTTTTGCCAGCTTGGTAACACACCCTTTCTAAGCAGTCCATCGGCTTCTTAGGGCTCTGCATTTGCTCAGGAGTGAAATTCCAAAGCATTAGGGGTGCCCACCGACTCAGGCCTTTGCCCATCTTTTCCCACAGCCCTTGCCACTCACTATTATCTGACCTCGGGGCAGGTTTCCGGGCACTGCTGTTGTTAGAGAAATACCATATGGCCAAAACTGAAATCAGGCAGACGTTCAGAAGGCACAGTGCCGCAATCACACCGGCCTGCAGGCTCCAAGGATAGCTGAAACTTCCCAAAGCCGAGAGGATCTCTTCCCCTGGCTCACCCACAGAGGGGGTGAGACCCTTAACAAAAGCCCAAACGGCAAACAGGTACCGGCCCGACTCCACACACAGCGATACAAAGGCATTATAAGCATTCAATAGCCCCTATAACAACATGAGACCCTTTATACATTTTCCACCGATAACAAACGCCACCACTGGGATTATACACTGGATATAAGGATTAATCCAGCCCCACCACGCAAGCAAGCGGGCCAGCATTGCAAACTTTTTTATCAAACAAACACAAATAAAAACAGAAAGATTACACCCAACAGATTGCTCTGGTCAGGGTGTCTCTTTTTTATTCTTATTTCAGCTCTCGAGCCCCACGTTGGGCGCCAATAATAAATGTGCAGGTTTAAGCCTTGCCAGGACCGGAGAGTACGTTGCCATTGCCCCTCCCCCACCCGCAGCCGGTCGGGCTGGAAGTTAAACACAGACCCCGGGCTAAAATAAGAAGAAATTTAATACAACAGTGTGATAAAACAATCTGAACAACAACAGTGGCAATGATAACAACAATAAACAGCAACAACAGGGAACAAGACAAAGGATATACAGAGAAATACCGCAAAATGGTCAGGGAGCAAGCCCGCCACGTGTATGGCAACCCCCAAAACCCAAAATGAAAGTAAAAGGGCTCCACCCCTGGACCTGACGCCAGCATGGTATGAATAACCCGGCTGGAGATCCCTTCCCCCTCTCTCTTTGCTGGGGAAAACTTGACCCTATACTAGTTGAACCAGGACAGTCATGTCATTTCTGAGCTTGATTTCCTATCTTGTCCAGCTAAAACCATTATAAGTATGGTGGCTCCTAAGAACGCAAATTAAAATCTCTGACATTAAGGGAAATAAATTTTACCAATAATATCAGGTAGGCCCCTGACTTCCTCAGCTGCGGTTATATCTGGACTTTTGCAAGCCATCTGAAATTTGGCAGTTTCTCTGAAACAGAAGAACAACGAAGTTTTGATTTGTACTAAATACGTAGGAGAAGGGACTTGCAATGGGTGTAATATTCAATTTAATTGGCAAAATGTAATATTGAAGTGAACTTAAGCATTATTCTAATATCAAGGCATATGATTCAAAGAATCAGTGTTGCTTCTTCTGAGACAAATTGAACTGAGTAATTATCTAGCCTGGGTTGATCACAACCTCCAATCTGCTATGATGGGATAAGAGCAATAAGTGCTAGATTTAATATGTGTAAACTGCAAAGGCATACATACCATCTCTAACAGGTACAAAAATCTATGAACTGTTAAGTAAGAACTAGCAAGAAACGTGGAAATAGCCTTTATCTGCCCACTGCTCTTCCCATCAGCTGGGGCACTGTGTTTCTCCTTGGGGGAAGTGAGAACAAGGGTATTGTTGTTCAGCAGGATGGTTAGGGTGAAAAGGATGGGCAGACTCATTTCTTTTCTTGCTCATGACATAATTGTTACTGCATCATCATGCAAACCGTTAACAGTCTAAAACATAGTTCAAAACCCATATCTCTTTATATATATGAACAAGAGACATACAATTTATTTTTAAAAGAACTATATACTATATGCATACCATACTATATGCATGTCATTGCAATATTAGCCTGTTAATCCACACTTTAACAGGCAGCAGCTCATCATAATCAATTCACTCCTAGCAAGGAGACAGTCTACTATCGGTTGTTAGGGCTGTGACCAATAATTCAGGAGTGTCTAGCTCCCAGTGCCAATCTTACAACTCCATACCTATAGTCATGAATATAGAATTGGGGTTACCTGGCGTCAGTAGAAATGTCTGAATCCTTAACCAAGGCGAGCTTTTCACTCTTCTTGGAAAACCTGGTCCTGTTCTTTACTTGATCCAAAGAGCGTACCAAGAGAACCTTCAAAGAACCACAATGGAAATGGTTAGGATTCTTTCCAACCTAATGGACAGAGAATAGTAACAAAATAATTGATAAAAACAGTGGGGGAAAGGTGGCAGAAGGAGGTAAAACAATAAACACTACTTGGAACCAGCATAAAAATTTTAATCCAAGGCTGTTTTAAAAATGAGAGAAAAAAAAAATAAAATCTCCCTTTCCTCAGAGAAAAACTGAAGCAAACTGGACTGTGTGCCTTGCTTAAGGTTACAAGGAAAGTCAAGAGCGGAGTGAGAAATGCCTGAATCTGGCTTACCATGCCTCTTATTTATCTTTTACTGCTGTGTTATAATGATTCTGACTTCATTTCATATATCCTTATAGAGGGGGAAGACACAGGAACACCCAGAGGTGCATTAGAAAGCATATGCTGCATTAACACAACTATTTTCAATCAAAATAAACAACAAAAAAAGAAAGGTTGAAAACGATCTCTGGTTTGAGGTGTCCACATTCACAGCTAGCAAAAAACCCCACCCCAAACTGATTAGTATCATTAACTCATTTAGTTTTTACCCGATTTTTTTTTATTTTTATTTTTTTTACCTGAGCCTCAGCAATCCGTTTATAGACTTCCCTGCCGGGAACCTGGCGCACAGTCCCCACTCGCCGCATGTGGCCCAGCACCGGTGACTTCGAGACCTGTTTCCAGAAGAATCACAATTTACAAACCAGGGGCCAAGGGGAGAGGTTGAGGTGGTTCCTAAGGGGGAAGCTACATGCCTGCGGCAGGGTCCTCGCCATATTGGTGCAGGCCAGAGCTTCGGAGGATGGAATCCTGTCTGCCGGATTATTGACCCGCGCTGGAGGGCGCCGAGCGCAGGGGGAAGAGCCCTTCTGCTCCCGCGGCCGCCGCGTCCCTCAGGGCTCCCGCCCGACTGTGGCGCCACGGCAGCGCTGTGGCCGTGACCATGGCACCGTGACCATGGCACCGCGGGGGGCGGGGCCTGG